ATACAGACTAACACGGCTACCCCCTGATACTGGAAAAAGCTAAACATTGTGAAATGTTTTTTGCATTGTTACTACTTAAAAATAACCCAACCAATAAACAAGATACACATGGTTCTATAGATTACAATATGCCCACTTCTTTATCCCAGTCCCCCTTATTTAGAGATCTTGGAAGCACTCCCTCACTCACTTCCCATGACACTCTCCTTCTAGTCAAGACCTTTGATTAGTTTCCCCAACTCTGACTCCCTTATGTGCTCCTGTGTCCTTAGGGAGTACCTCAGTGCATGCAGTTCTGTATGAATTATTCCTAAGAGTACTCTCTGCACACGTTCTTCTCACATGGAGACTTTTGTTCACTCCCCTTGGTTCTTTCCTTTGTAAAGCAGGCTGTTCTACGCCTTTTGAGGAACTGAGTGTCATTTTGAATTGAATTAACGTAATTCTTTTTAAATGCTACTTATGAATATATTTCTGATTTTTTCCCCCCGTATTCAGGGTATACATGTAAGACAATACTTGTACTTATTTTTCTTTAAACTATTTGGGCTGTTTTTCAGAAGGTGGAAGGATACCGAGATAGGGAGCAGTTGTTTGATTGGAACAGTGTACAGAATACCTTTGCTGAGCAAAACAAAGACTGTTCTGTGCATTTATCAATCATCCACTATTGGAAAAGGATTCTGAAGGTTCCTATGGACAGGTATCCTCTTGCAGGAGAGTGGCATAACTTGTCCTACCAGCAGTGTGTGAACCCAGTAATGGAGACTGTAGACCAGTTTCTTTTCCTCACATTCAGTCCCCTCTAGTTAAGCACATATAGAGATCCTCCATGAAAAGCCTGCCAAAGTACAATTTATTGGTAGGGAGGAAAGGAAGGTCTTTTGGCTAAAGCACAGAATCTGGGGGCAAGAGGCTTTTGTTTTATGCTAGGCTTTGCTACAGGCTTCCTGTGGTGATCTTGGGCAACAATCTTAATCTCTGTGCCACGACTTCATTTCTGTGAAGTGGGGATATGGATCTACCGCACAGGGTGTTGAGGCTTAATTAAATGTGTATGTGAAGGCACTGTATAGAAGTATTATTTATTGTTAAATAATTCTAAAATGGCCATTAGGGTTGTTTCAGACCCAGGCTAGGCACCCATTGTTGTGCTTCCTGTCCTTGGTGAGTGAATGTACTTCCACCACTCTGCTTTCTGGCCCAGGAGTGAATGGATGAGCTCACATCTCAGGTTCCCATCCCACTAGATTGCTGCATTGATCTATAAACAGTTTCTGATGTACTTTAGTATTGGGTTTAATAATCAAATGGACTTTAATGCGTAACACTTAAAGATTCATGTGTAAGCACAGTAATTCTTTTGATTATTAAACCAGTTTTCAAGCAAGATAAAACTAGTTTACAGGGTGACAAACTGCCATTATTACAAATGTCACTTTTCAGCAAGTGGTACGCATCTGACAGTAGGAAGCTTAGAAATGAAATTCTAAGGCAGCATTTTATTTTAAAACTCATGATGAAAAAGATTTCTTCCTGTGAATGTTCAGGCCTCTGCCCTGAGCAAAATGGGCATGGCTTTCTTTTTAGAAATCTTACTTCAATGAAATATGCTGTGAGTACACTTGATGTTCTGTCACTACAAGTATGATCTTTCTGTGCCTTAATTTTAACTGTTGCATTTTTTTTAACATCTGACATATTCAGCCTAGTGTTCAACTAGACTGCAGAAATCTCTGTCCAACTGATAATTGAGATCACCTTTTTAAACCAAGATCTTGTCCTCCCTCTTGTCCTCCCTCTACAGGAGAATTTGCAGCGTTCAAGTAGCCACAGCGCCATGGCAGCACCTACTCTATTATTTAAGTCTTGTGTTCCTACAGTTTCTTAACATCAAAACTCTGTTCTGCTCCTCAAAACCTAAAGCAATTTAGGAAAAGATATCCGTAAGCTTAGAGTGGAGCAGAATGGAACTGCTGGTCCAACACAAGGGTGGGGGGAATAATCTTTTTAGGAACCAGAATTCTCTGCTGCCAGTGTTTCTCCTTCAACACAAAACACCACGTGTATTCAGAGACCCGCAGTGGCTGCCTGTACCGTTGTCATCATTCCCAGGAGAGAGGAGAGGGCACGCGTGTTTTGACTTTGGTGCTCAGGCATAAGGGGATGGAACTGCTGCAGCAACTTAAGAGACTTGCTTTGGATGTCTGCCAGTTGGCTTTCTCCCTCTAACAACGAATCATCAGAGGCTGAACATCTGATGAGAGTGCTAATCAAAAGAATCATCTTCTGTTCTGATTTATTTTTTTCCTGGCATGCTTACTGATTTCTGGGTCAAAATGCAGTATCCCCTTTTCATTTAAATGCAAATATCAAACATTTCAATCGATCTATGTCATTGACTTTTATCCCAGTCATATTTGATATTTTGAGGGGTGGTAGGTGGCTTCAGGAGAAGTTAATCTGGAGGAAAAGGGGATGCTGCACCATTTTTCAAATTTACTTTTCACTTACCCAAAAACTACCCTTTTCTTGTTTCTAATACTTTCTGGTGTGCTCAGACAGGGCATCTTTCAGAAGGGTTGGGAAGCTCCTCTCGTTGGTCCAGCAACAAACTAAAGTTAACAAAAAAAAATGTAGCAAGTTCTCAAAATATTTTTTTGTATCATCTAATTAAATGTATTTTTCAGAAATGCGATAATGGCATCTGAAGTCTGTAAAACTGCTAATACAGACTCTGGAATGGTGTTTGTACCTATTTTAAAAGTTTTATTTTAAATGAGGGTGCAGGTTAATGCCAGGTACCTTACCAATGTATAAGGTTTTCATAAACAGGAAAAAATAGTTCTCAGGTTGAATTGGAAAAAAAATAAATACAAAAATCCCCCCCTCCCCTGAATTAGACATTCTGCAAATTGTGTTTTGGTACTTAGAGAGCTTTTTTAAAAGGATTTTTATCCTGTTAACTCAGTGTTCTCTGATAAGTGTGTGTGTAAATGTGGAGCATCTTGTCCCAATGGCAAGGTGTTAGATTTAGAAAACAACCAACTACTACAAAAAACGGTACTTGCTGGATCCACGCTGACCTTTTCTCCTCTCATTGGTTCCCTCTGTTTGATTCTCTTGTTCCCATCCCTCCATTTTTCCCTTTTCCACAGTTTGCAAACTAGGATAAAGGTGGCAGTATCCACATTAGTTTCCCTTGTTTCCCTGTCCTCCAAGCCCAGTTCTCAAATGGTTGGTAGCTTTGTGACAAGCTACCAAATCAGAAGACAAATTCATGAAGTTCAGCACAGTGTTTACCTCTAGTAGAATATCTTGTGATGTGATCTGTTTGCAGAATTCTCCGATATGTGGTATTAAACGTAAAATATTTGTACAGAGGCAAGTCAGACCATAGTAGAAAGAAATTCAAGCTCACACGGAAGTCTTCAGAGTTCGATTAATATCTGCCCTATCCCACTCTACATGAGCCAGGAGAATTGACGCCACTAATTGGCAGCACTATTCTTAGGTGAATAAAATCATGTGACACATGTAAAGGAGTTAAATGTGTACAAACGCACATGGCGTTGGCTGAAGACATTGTTTCTGCCTCACTAGGTGAGCGGGGACCTTTACTGTGTACAGAAGGGTGCCCCTGGAGATCTAGGTAGCCTGTTATGTTTGTCAATTATTATTTACTGTGGTTAAGGGGTCCTGATTAATTTGAAGTGAGAAATATAATTGAAATACTGTGTATTCATGTTAATTCCACAAACATTAGCCAGACAGCAATAGAGAGTGACGTGAAGTTACTACAAGGATGAAGCAATTCATGTTGCTACATGAATAGAATTGATTTTATGTACAGGATGCATTTTAACGAACAAGCACAACTTTTTTCTTCTCTGCTGTAGGTCTTCAGCTGCTATTAGGTTTTTTCCTTCCTGAAATGGGCAGGAATTAAACTAATCAGTAGCAGTGTCTACTGTACCTTCCAGTGTGAAGAAGCAAGCAAAGTGAGCAGTAGTGCACAGTCAGGTGAAGTCACCATGCACCATGTTAGTGTAATGGCAGTATACAGTGCTATCTGAGGCAGGTGACAGACCAAGGTGGAGAAAGCTAGGAACCAAGTTGTCCGCAACAGTTGAGAATTTTTACAAATATTAACTCCAAGAGAGTGAAGTCATTACTGTATCAATGTTTTCCCCTCAACCTTTTTTTTATTATTATTATTATTTTTTGGCCTGTGATGTAGCTTGTAAATGTAGGGCACACTGAAAATTACATATGATCCTAAAGAAAGGTATAGCCTAAGTATGTATTGCTAGGTTAAGAATTATCATTTCAACGTACTGGATAAAAATCCTAGTTTCCTTCTATATTTTCTTGCTGGCAGAGAAGTATTTGTTAAAATAAAACAGTAAGGAATTATTTTTATCCTTATTTTAAATGAATTTATTTTGTAATCCTTCATTACCTGTTAGTCTACAATATGCTTCTTGAGCCCACAGGAAAAGCACAAGGAAAACTGCTATCCTTGTCCATGCAAAGCACTTTATAAGTAACACATGGTCTTTGATTTCCCCTGCCCCCTGAAAAACATGTATGTTGTTTGACTGTTGTTTAGTTAAGTCTTTCAGGTTTCATTTCTATTACCTTCCAAGTTTTTTTCTCTTAAAGTAGCTGTAATGCTTTATGTTTGTGTCCAGCTTTCTATCTGTATAAAGACCACCTTAATCCTCATGCAAAACTTTGGGAAAATTTGGTTTGTAAATAATTGTTTTTCTTCATTTCTTTTCCTTCAGAAATTACTAAGGACGTTTTGCATGAAAATAGGATCCGTTTTAAAAGTGCCTTGCAGGTGTTTGGTAAACAGTGAGACAGTAGCAGGGACATGTATTGAAAGCCCCAGATAGCAAGGGGGTGAAGAAAACAATGAACTCTTTTAAAAAAAATAATAATAATAAAATTCAGGCTCTCTGTTCACACCATACAGCTTCAGCTCATCTGTGATTTCACCAGCTCAGTGCACTAGGGCATAAACCCACATGCTGGGTTTGGTAATTTTATTAAATATTTTTATACCTGTTGGGATATAAAATTATCTAGGCACTTATACTGCTGTAAGATCCAACATATCTGAGCAGCTAATAAACCTTTTCAAAATCACCACTGGAGCACCCATAGTCCAACTCCATGGAGTACATTAGCTGTGAAACACCCCTTCTTCCCCCATATACAGAAATTAGAAAATATCTGTCCTTTCATCTAGTCCCATCTCCCTGTCAATGCAGGATTCTTCCCTACAGTATATTGTCTGGGGCATCATGGTGGCATTGAAGTCAAACAGAGTGAATGTAGGAGCCTGATTATTTTTAAGGTAACAGCATCAGTTAAATGCTGAATGTCTCTATATTCGACATAGTCCTGCCATTCTCACTTTTCACAAAACATTTGCAGGTCACTGAGTTAATCTGTTCCTGCTTGCTTTATTCCTTACCTGAAATCATCCTTTCTCACAATTGAGTTCTTTGGCAATTACTGATAATACAATTATTTTGGGTCAAATTCTGCCATCATATTTTTGTGGCTTCTACTTAAGTCAGTATATGTGCTCTTTAGAGGACAACATTTGGCCTACTATGACATGAAGTGAATAAACAGAAGTGTGAACTGTTAACAAAGATCACATCTTTATGCAAATGTCCAGCAGTAAAAATATACTGAAGAATTGCCTCTATAGTTGTATTGTGCTGTCTATGTACACGGTGCTTTACTGAACACTTTGAAGACAAGGTCCATTCCCCAAAGACACGATGATCTAATATCAGTTGAGGCATCGGTAGTTCTTGAAGGTATCTGTGTAGTGGAGGGCCGAATTAAGAGCTGAAGCGTGCAAACATTTCACACCTTTCCAGCCTGCAGGTTTTTATGGAATATATTCCCTTCTTGACTGTGAGTGCAGCATGTGTAGCACAAACTATTCAGAGTACTGTAGACAAGTATCTTTCCGTCCATTGAAACAATGTCACCAGGACGTAATATGATAGTCTAACCTTTTAGGTACATTCGAGATTCAGGTGAAAACCAGTTGCAGAAGGACTGTCATGGCATCACTTTGAAAATACTGGATGTTTTGTCTCTCAATGGTTTGGTTTTTATTTTCTTTATAGATACTAGTTTATCTCACACACACACACATTTTCTTTATAGATACAAGTTTCTCTCTCTCTCTCACACACACACTACCTTTTTTGGCTGCTTTGTTATTTCTTATCTGGTAAATCAATGCATCAAAAACAGGTGTTGAGACAATTGGAGTACAAACATTTTGTTTGTCTTTAGGTTTTAAAGATGCTAATACAGAAGCTAGTCAGCACCATGAGAGCAGTGAATTGTAATAGTTATAAGTGTGTGTGGGATGAAGGGGCAGTTTCTCAAAAATAGCAGGATGGGGATGCTGATGTGAACAAACTGAAGAAGTGAAAGCTAGTAATATTTATATAGAAAAGATGTCCAGAAACTCTTAAATGGTATACATGAGGCTTCCCAAAAGTTACCTTTGCAATTTGCCAAATGATCTTGTGCCTTCATGACTTAAAACAACAATACATATATATTAGGTGCTTTGTAACTAGAGCAGTGGCTTTGGTTTAATTCCAATGCAGTGTCTTCATATTTAGATGCAAATATGGACCTTTCACAAAAGTTAACAGTTTTTGAGTTTGTAAATGTAAGCAAAAGCTATATGGAGGTGACGGGGAGGGGAGAATTTACAGAAATATCTGGTGTTTGTATCCAAAATAAAGTTTATACAAGACATATGCATGTCTGAGAAAATCTGCAACTTGAAGCTACTCTGCAGAAAATAAAATGAGTTGCATTTAAAAAAAAATTAAGACTTTTTGACACCTCCAAAAATCAAGCATCTTGTTATGGAAATGTAATATAAAGTTTTTAGGAGAGAGAAAGTCAGAATATCCAGAGCAGTGTATGAAAAGTGAGATCTAGAATAGAAGGCTGATTGTCAGTACCGATAAGCCATGTACATCATGGTATACCGTTAATTTCCTGGTCCGGGGTTACGTTGTTTAATGGAATATCAGCAGGTTTCTTTAGTTCTTCCTCAGGCCTCATATTGATACACTGCCTAAACCTCTACAACCCCAGCCACTGTTTAATGATCATATATCCTGTAATCACATGTTTACCTTTGGGGATGATGAGTATATTATCAGTTTAGGGGCAAAAGATATGCTTGGATTTGATGTGTTCATATTTCAAACTTATCTTCGCTCCTGGCAGTACTTTAATACGAGTGTCATATTTCATCTGTATGTCCATAAGGAAAAGAGAATGATCTTTGTTCTTAATGTTTTTCAAGTCCTTTCCCTGCCTTTGTTGTTGGTGGAGGACTTTGGATATAATTCTGCTATATAAATCAGTGCAATTAAATGCACAGTTATTACAGAATATTAGACTTCTATTAACCCCTTTTTAGTTCCTTTTATAAATCAGGGTGTAATGTTTTTTAAATGTTTTACTTAAATGCCCAGGAAATATCTGGAACTTTTCTCCCTCTTCCAACCCACGCACTGAAAATAGTATCCTCCCTACTTCTATGAAAAACACAACTATTTCCCTATTTTGTGAAGGGGAGAGGGTAATGTTGGGGAACTTTTAAACTGCCTAAGCATTTGTTTTAGTATGTCATAGCAACAGTATGTTCAACCCATCCAGATGCCCTAACAGTCTACATGTACTATCCAGTCTTTCTGTCTGGCTTATATCTGCAGCAGTTGTAATTTAGAATAAGCCTGTATGTCATTTACTTCTGAATTAGTAAAACACAAAGACAAGATCGTTGTTTGAGTTTTAAATAATAGTTTGTTTTGACAGATATCATTTCATTTGGGTGCTCACCCTGCTTGAACTCAATTTATTTGTTTTGTGTGTTTGGAAGTTCAGTAAAATGTTAAGACATGACGAGCAATGAACCCTAT